ACTAAGGCATTAGACGAAACCAAATTCAATGGTTTTCTGAACAAAATGGGTATGATGATGCCTAATCCTCAGTTCTTTCAAGAGGTATGTACTCTTTGATAGCAACATTAGAGAATAAAATAATTCCGAGGTCAATTCTTTTATCTCGGAATAAATATGATCATTTTACGTGTCTTTTTGTCTAACAACTTCTTGTACTTCTAAGTTGTATAGCTTACTTCATCATATAGAGTTCATAACCAATATAGTCACATTGGTATTAATCTCACCTCGAAACTTACTTTATAAGTACAATAAGAAGATCATCTCAGAATTCAATTCCGGAATGGTATGGAACTTTCATTTCATTCTATGTTGAAGATCAGATCCTTCTCATCTCGGTGTCTCAAAAACTATTTAATATAAGTCCATTGAGATCTTCCTATCTTTTACCTCAAATAATCGATATGAGTCTGTGCAATCTCATTCTCTCAATTATGTACAAGAATTTTTTCATTCTAATCTTGGAATTATCTTATGTCTACTCATCTCGGAACCTTTGTCCTCCGAGAGCATCTCATAAGATCATCTTGGAACCATTGTGCTCCGAGATCATTTCATAAAATTTATCATACAACCTTTGTGCTCTGAGATCACTTCATGAACTCATCTCGAACCTTTTCCTATTCCAATACTATCTTACAGATTCATCTTGGATATTTCTTGATCAAAGATTCATTTTCAAAACGCCTCGGAACCTTATGGCACCGAAATCAATTCTTTTAAGAGAAGTTCAAAAGGTTTTTCATCATTTTTTTTCACAACATTTTTCTCTTAAATAACTTAATCAGTTACTTTTTTAATGATGATTATCTCTTAAAACTAGAAATCCATAACCTTTTTGCACACGGCTACGTAAAAGCAAACATCCCACCAGTTGTGTGACGATATCTATTTTACACGTACCATCAGTGGTTACTTTAATCATTGCAGGTCAACTCAATCCAAAAATGGCAAGGCATTAAATGCGATCAGTTTCAAAATCTGGGTTTCATCATTACTTTTCTAACCCGACCCATCCTTTCCTGAACCTATAAAAGTCCCTAAGAACCCCTTTTACCCATTACGATCCCAAAATACTCATCTTCTCTCTCAGCTAAAGTTTTATTCAAGCTTTAAAACCAGCAACAATGGCTTCCTCTCAATCTATTTCCAAATTTTCCAAATCCGCTCCTAAGAAGAAGTCTTCCAAAGGCTGTACATCGTCTTCGTCAACAGAACCCTTTCTCAGGGATACAACCAACCACTTCTCTTTGTACCCCATGGACTACGACGAGTCCATCTGGGTCATGATCGATTTCCTTGCTCATCACCCCATCTATGTTCCTCTTACCAAAATTATACACCCACTGATTCCCCTTCATCTTCTTTACACAAATTTTGATCGACTCAAGATAGAGAATGTTTTTCTTGAAACAAGAATAAAAGGTGGTTGTATTGTGTCTATTCACAAGTCCACTTTCTTGATAACGATTGGAATTCTGAAAAACCCTGAAGGGTTCAAGGTCTAAGAACCATCTTCTAAAGAGTTCGATATGTTTCATAAATAGATTAGGTATACAGAAGAGTTTAAGGAAAATAAGTTCAAGAAATTTGTTGTTTCAAGCCTTTAGATAGTCCTCATGCATTTCATTCTTAGAGTTCTTTCTGGGAAGCATGGAGGTACAGACACTCTCAACATGGATTGGGTTTATATTGTGTATAGTATTTTATTAGGAAAGAACAATGCTGTAGATCTCACGAAAGTCTTGTGGCAAGATTTTTGGAAGTTTTCCAACAATCGCAAGCCTAACAAGATGTCGAGACCAAGATTTTGGGCTCTGACCATCCAACAACTGTACCGCGAAAGGAGAGAATCAATACCGGTTGACACGATTTATAAAGACGTATTTCTGTCTTGTAAAACTATCAAGACTTATCGCCTTCCGGAGCAAACATCTTTCGAACCTATTAGGCCCTTACCTAAACATACGTCGGCCATCCTATATTCCGAGTCCATTCATTAAAAACAACATTTAGAGAATTCGATTGTGTATAGCCCTACACAATCTAACTCTATCTCCATTGATCCTATCTCAGATGTGGCCAATACTGTTCCATCAAGTGGTAAGAAAAAGAAGTCTGATAAATGAAAAGCCTCTCCCTCAACACCCAAATCCATAAATAGAATCAAATTTGGTTCTTCCTCTCCACTGGAAGGAACCAAAGACACTTTGGCTTACTCTAGCCATCCTCATACCCCACCAACCCACTCTTCCGAAGTACCCTTTGGAGTTTCAAAATCACAATTACTCACTCACGAGGAGTCTCCACATAATCCACCCTCACCTCCCAACAAGGTATTACTGATGTTGAACATGGTTCCTTGCACCCCTTCGAACAAACCCACGAGACAATTTGATAAACCCCGATCTTTCATCATAAGCACGGTCTAAAATCCCTGTCTCGAACCCTAAGCATTCTGAAGCAGCAATTATCCCTCCTACCTTAAAAGTCGTAATTGGTCTGATACATGGTAAAGGTACATCACGACCAATTAATAATGATCCTCTTTGGGAAGATTTTGTTGGCAGGGCACATACGAGACATCCTAAACTTACCAGATCACAAGTTGAAGCAACTTTAATGTTAATGAGAAACAGGGCCATCCAAAGCAACTTACCATTTGTTGCTCCAACTGATGACCTTTGGTGTCTTTGAAGTCTTGTAAAATTACCTCTTATTAAAACTACTTTTTTTGGCAAGTTTCCTTTTGAAAATACAAATCCAATTACTTATTCAAAAACTTGTTAATAGATCACAACATGTATGGGTGTTAGTGCAATAAATAACAATGTACTTTTGTTTTGTTGTCTCTAATTTAAAAACAAAAATGTACTTTGCCATCATAAATTGCATGTTGATTTGGTAATTTTGGTATGTGGTGATTATTTGCTAAAAGCTTTGTTAATTGTGCTTTTGTCCCAAATGAAAGAAATAACAACGTACTTTGTTTTTTGTCTCTAATTTAAAAATAGAAATGTACTTTGGCATCATAAAATGCATGTTGATTCGATAATTTTGGTTTGTGGTGATTATTTGCTAAAAACTATGTTAATTGGGTTTTTTTCTCAAGTGCTAGAAATAGTAATGTACTTTCGTTTTTTGTCTCTAATTAAAAAATAGCAATGTATTTAAGCATCATAAAATGCATGTTGATTACATAATTTTCGTTTGTGGTGATTATTTTCTAAAAGCTTTGTTAATTGTGCTTTTGTCCCAAATGCAAGAAATAACAATGTACTTTGGTTTTTTGTCTCTAGTTTAAAAATAGCAATGTACTTCGGCATCATAAAATGCATGTTGATTTGGAAATTTTGGGTTGTGGTGATTATTTGCTAAAAGCTTTGTTAATTGGGTTTTTGTCATAAGCGCAAGAAATAGTAATGTATTTTGGTTTTTTTTTCTCTAGTTTAAAAATAGCAATGTACTTTGGCATCATAAAGTGCATGTTGATTAGGTAATTTTAGTTTGTAATGATTCTTTGCTAAAAGCTTTGCTAATTATGCTTTTGACCCAAGTCCAAGAAATAACAATGTACTTTGGTATTATCTCTAGTTTAATAATAACAATGTACTTCAGCATCATAAAATGCATGTTGATTTGGTAATTTTGGTTTGTGGTAATTATTTGCTAAAAAACTTTGTTAATTGGGTTTTTGTCCCAGGTGCAAGAAATAACAATGTACTTTGGTTTTTTGGCTCTAGTTTAAAAATAGCAATGTACTTTGGCATCATAAAATGCATGTTGATTTGGTAATTTTATTTTTGTTCCAAGTACAAGAAATAGCAATGTACTTTTGGTATATCTTGTATTTAAGTGCAAGAAATAGGAATGTACTTTGGTAGTTTTATGTTTATGTTTGATAATTTAACTTATAAATTTATATATGTTGATATTTATTATGTAGTTAGAAAACCTTCGAGAAATGCTCAACGACCCGACATGTAGGGAGGAGCTTTATTCGTTCTTTCAACTACAATATAATCAATGAGGAAACGATGGGAACAAAGATGATGGTATGTAGGGAAGAGCTTTATTTGTATGTCACATTTGTTGTCACACTTTGCTACTTGTTATCATTGTAAAACTTACTTTGGTACTTGTTAGAATTATAAAACTTTTGGTTGTTTTATTTTGATATGGAATTAATTATAACAGTATTTGTATTTAATCGGATGTTGTTATATAATTTTTTTTCTTTTTTTAACATTCTTATGTATCAGTTTTTATACCCAAAATTACTGATTAAAATAAATTTTAAAATGAAAAATATTATTACCGGCGGCAAAATTATTAGCGGCAACTTTATTATTAGCGGCGATACGAAGTGTTACCAGCAACAGGAGAATTAGTTGCAACAATTCATTGTAGCGGCGATAACCTGATCAATAGCGATAGAGCAGTAGCGGCAATATTTTCTGGCGGCGTGTTGCCACTATTGTCTTTATCGGCGATTAGTTTACCCTTTACCAGTGACTATTGTTGCCGCTATAGCACCAAATTCTCGTAAAGTATCAAAATATTATTACTTTGATTTAATGTGAAACGCTTCATTATTTTAGGAGAGTAAGTAGGAAGAAAATATAAAAAAATATTTAATTTCTTAAAATAAAATGGTGAATCAGAAAAAATGAAAGTGTCGAAGATACTTGGAGACATAAAACGTTACATTAAATCAATATTCCAAAGAGCTTATCACTAACCAAAAAAAAAAAAAAAAACTTATTTTCTCGCTTATGTATGAAAATCATATAATTATAAATGTTTACATATTACTTCCATTACTTTTGATAGTTAAGAAGTAAACCAGCGATTCATGTTTCTTTTAATTGTATAATATATTACAAAATACATTGAGTTTCGTACCCGTTGCGATGATTCATGCTTTAAAAGCATCGATACGATAAACTATAATTAAACTAAGTTGACTCAAGATCCAAAAGACGTAATAAGAAAACAAAACTTGCACCAATATATTTTCTTTGAAAGAGAAAGGTGGAAGTAAAATCATCTGTGAACGTAGCAGTAAGTTCCACAAATTTATTTTCAACAGCGGAGCAACGCACCACGGCTCCCCAAAAGTGGCTTGCGATTCACTAACAGTTGAAGGCTACGCCACATGCAGTTGCGACCATCTTTGCACCGGGAAGACAAAGATAGCCACCAAAAGTCGGGTCAGTCGTTTCCTGGCAAAGACAAGACTCCTGACTCTTGAGCTTCAGGCAACAGTCTGCGGAGGGTGGCTGGTATGAGACTATGGCTTGCAGACACCAACTGAGCTGCACCGGATCACACGTCGTCTGTGCGAGTTGAACATGTCCAGTTGAAATTAGTAGCACGATCACCACTACCATGAAGCGCCTTAGTGAGTTTTCCATTGGTTAGGAGATTCAGATTTATCCGATTTCGATTGAGTGTAGATAATTAGTTGTGATTTGGAAGTAAGATGCGGTGGGTTCAATTTATAGAGTTTGAGAGAAAGTGCGGTGGGACACCACCCATGTCTGAATGGAATTACAAATAGTTTATAAAATTATGTTACATGTGTTGAATAAAAAATATATAAATCACCATTGTAGTTGAATGATCGATTGTAGTAGGGTAAATCATGGTTAAACAATATCTTAACCTAGATATAGTAGACATTATAGACCATCCAAATTTACTATGAGGTAACAATCAAACATTAGAATTCCAGTTGACGAACATGGAGTCGAAAAGTCACGGTGGAGAGGACGGCGGCGGTTGGATGCAATATCGCCGGAAAAGTGTTAACATGGAGAAGATTATTACATCGTTCTACGTTTTCCAATCTGAGTAATGACACTACTCTTGATATGCTGGAAGAAGCATTCCGGGGATTTGGACGTCTAGCAGACATCTATATACCGGGAAGAAAAGACAAAGCTGGATCGTACTTCGCCTTCGTTAAATATAGAGGTGTTCAGAATCCGGAGGAGATGGCTAAATCCCTGAATGGAGTAAAATGTGGTCACTGTGTAACGCAGGTGAACGTTTCAAAATACGACAAGAAGGGTATACGATACGATCCGACACCGCAAAGGAAAACACCCCATCAAAAGGAGAAGATTCATCACAAGCCCAGAAGTAACACTTGGGATGGAAGGTCCTTCGCTGACGTTGTCACAGGAAAGGAATCAACTATTCTAAACATCCCCAAACCTACGGAGACACCGAAAGTCAAATTGAGTAGGGTTGCAGTAATGGATTCCTGTGAGCATCTAGTACTCGTCAGTGAGGCTATCTCCCTACAACACCTCACAGATCTCCACTGATACACACAGACGGGGAAGTACCATGTGAATTGTTCTATGCTGGAGGTCTGAAGGTGGTTTTAAAGTTCGTTTCCCGCCATGGTGCAGAAAACTACTTCAAGGATGACTATGAATGGAAGAAATGGTTTAAGTGGATAAAGTGTGGTATCAATGCAGAACTAAATGAAAAGAGACTTGCTTGGGTTACTCTCTATGGCATTCCTCTGCATCTTAGATCAGACAACAAAGTCATTGCAATAGCTAACCAGTTGGGGAAGATTGTGGAGGTCGATGGTTAGAACTGGCGTTGTACTGACCTATCAGTATCATTTGCACACATCTTAACTTCGGATTGGAAACTAATAAACACGGTGGTTAACTGTGAGTTCAATGGAAAATTATATAAAGTCAGAGTTGTTGAAAGATATGAGATCTTGGATACGATCTCTAGTTACTTTGAAAAAGTGTTCAATCAGACGGACAATGACAATCATTTAAGGGAAGATGTTGTTAGCGATAATGGAGATAATGATGATGGAAGCGATCACTTGTCGGAGACGGATGATGATGGTGTATCAGAAACTATGCTCAATATCGTTGAGGAAGGTGAGATTATTGAACAAGTCGGAGATGGAAATTCGTCGCCGCCGATCGCTGGTTCGGCGAGATGCAATAGCATGATATCCCCAGAAGTCGAAAAGTCTCATCGGAATCCGGAGGCATTAAATGCCCCTTTTCCGTTGGCATGACGACGACGGTTCCAATTCCTTTCAGGGAGACTGTTGATGAATCGTTGACTAACATTTCAGCTGGCCCAGCATGCAGGCCCAACTCTGCCCCAATAAACACCATTATACAACCCATTTTGGTGAGCCTACCTTTAACCGCCCCATGCACCTGTTGGAGTCTTTGTAGGGGTATAAGGACTTTACACCAAATTCAATGACAGGGACAAGGAAATAAACTTCACAGGGGACAAAACTTGTAAATGACAAGAAGGGTAAAACTGGAAAACAGCTTACACTAGTCTTCAAAGTGTATAAAAGGTGAAGTAAGACAAAATAGGCAATACACAGGGGCAGAAAGTTGCACTGCTTTTATTCATAAACTTGTAGGGAAAGAGGATGCAAAACATCACGTACATACCTCACTTTTTAAACTAGAAAAAGGACTAAAAACAAGGAGCTACTTCTACCTATCTGCATAAAAATAGGATCCATTTGCCAACATGGCTTTGGACTTATTCAAAACAAAGACTGGGTAAAACACTAAAATAAACATGTGCAGTAAAATCTGAATTACACTCACATTTTCCCCTTTAATTCAAAGTTTGATACCTTCTTAACTCCAATCAAAGCTTGCATCTCCTTGTGCTTCAATTTTGCCATTGCTTTTGTGAGTATATCTGCCTTTTGACCCTTGCTGCATACATGAGTCACTTTGATTTCACCATTCTCCACGCACTCTCTAATAAAGTGAAATCTCGTGTGAATGTGCTTGCTTCGCCCGTGAAACACCGGATTCTTCATAAGATCAAGGGCTGACTTGTTGTTAACAAACAAGGTTGCTAGTGCTACCTTCTCACCAGTTATCTTAGTAAGTAGACGACGCAGCCATATCCCCTGACACGTTGCTATGGTAGCTGCCATAAACTCCGCCTCACACGAGGACAATTCCACACATCGCTGTTTTTGAGAGGACCAAGTGACCAAGTTCCCGTTTACATAGAACGCCATTCCGCTAGTGCTTCTTCTATCATTAACATCCATTGCCAGGTCACTGTCGGAGTACCCGGAGATTGCAACCTTGCCCTCTCCTTTAGTATAAGCTAAGCCATAGTCTAAAGTGCCTTTCACATATCTGAGTATGCCCTTTACAGCTTGAAGATGTTTCGTGGTAGGCTTTTCCATGAACCGGCTCACCACCCCAACAGCAAAGGATATATCGGGACGAGTATGAGTTAAATATCTCAGTCCACCTATGATGCTCCTGTACTCGGTTGGATCCACTAATTCCCCTCCTTCATCCTTGGTTAACTGCACTTTGTGTTCCAATGGACTTGTTGTGGGATTGCAATGTTGCATCCGGGTCTTGGTTAAAATACTCTTTGCATATGCTTCTTGTTTAAGCATGATTCCTGCATCATCTTGATGTACCTCGATACCCAGATAATAACTCAAGAGCCCGAGATCACTCATCTCAAACTTTTCATTCATCTCCTGTTTGAAGCACTTCACTTCTTCATGGCAATTTCCTGTTACCAGGAGGTCATCGACATATACTCCAATTATCAGAAATTTTCCTTCTCTTTTCCTGGTATAAACCGAGTACTCTTGTGTGCATCTTGCAAATCCCAAACTCTTCAAATATCTGTCTAAGCATGCATTCCATGCCCGGGGTGCCTGCTTTAACCCATACAGGGCCTTCGAGAGTTTATACACCTTGTTCTCTTCACCTCTTTTTACAAACCCATCAGGTTGAGACACATAGACTTCCTCCTCCAACTTACCATTCAAAAACGCTGATTTCACATCTAGATGATGCACACGCCATTCATTGCAACCTGCAAGGGCTAGTATTACATGTACCGTTTCAATTCTTGCCACTGGTGCAAAGACTTCCTCATAGTCGATCCCCTGCTTCTGAACATACCCCTTCGCCACAATTCTCGCTTTATGTTTCAGAATCTTTCCATTTTGGTCTCGTTTCACCTTGAAAACCCACTTTAGACCAATTGGCTTTTGATTCTTTGGAAGATCGACTAACCTCCAGGTATTATTTCTTTCAATTGCGGTCAATTCGGCCTTCATAGCATTGACCCACTCCGTTCTTTTCTTCGCTTCTATATATGAGGTCGGTTCTTCCTCATCGTAGACTAGCATGAGACGCTCTGTGTGGTCGTACAGGTCCGACAGAAGTCTATAGCGCTTTGGTGCTCCACCGCCTGTGGAGCTTGAGGCGGTACTAGGAGAGCCGACTTGCGATACAGGTGAGTTTGGTGTAACAGGCGTATTAGGTGTTGATGGTGGGCTTAATGGATTATAATGTGGGCTTAATTGTGGGTCCAATTGTGAGCTAATGGGCTGAGATGCATCTTCGATCCAATCTTCTTCAGGTTGTGACATCACGTTTTCATTTGGTGTACCAGGGATAGGCCCAACTTCCTCATGCTCATGCTCGTTGAAGTCAAACCATTCAACTGTGAAACTCATTCCTGGTGTCGGCTTAATCTTAGCCGTCTTCTCCCATATCCATACCTTATCTTCTTCAAATACCACGTTTCTACTCACATACATCGAACCTGTGATTGAATCTAGTAACCGATATGCCTTGGTGCCTTTCTCAACTCCAAGATGTACCACCCTTTTGCTCCTATCATCCAATTTCTTTAGATGATTTTTGGGTATCATCATGTGAGCAACACAACCGAACACCCGAATGTGTCCTACTTGTGGCTTTCTTCCAGTCCATACTTCATACGGTGTGGACTCCTGGAGAGGTTTGGTGCTTACCCGGTTCAGAACATACACAGCATGGCTTACAGCTTCACCCCACAACACGTCTGGAACTTTCATTCCTTTTAAATTGCTTCTCGCCATCTCTATAACTGTTCGGTTTCGTCTCTCCACAACACCGTTTTGTTGTGGAGAGTATGGTGCAGTGTAGTGACGATCCAAACCTATTTCATTGCAATATTTGGTGAGATCGTTTGACAAGAACTCACCACCACGATCCGTTCTAAAAACCTTCATCTTCTCACCTATTTCAACTTCAACTTTTGCCCTGAAATTCTTGAACATTTCGAAAGCCTCATCCTTTGTTTTCAATAAATACACCCACATAACTCTACTATAATCATCCACCAAGAGCATGAAATATCGATTCCCTGCTGGTATAGGGGGTGATACCGGTCCACATAAGTCCCCATGAATGAGCTCAAGTCTTCTTTTTGCCCTGTAATTAGTATGAGCTGGATAGGGACTTCTAGTCTGCTTTCCAACCAAACATCCTTCACACCTTTGGGAGGGAATGTCTATTTTTGGCATTCCTTCAACTAGGTTCTTATCCGACATGATCTTGAGCGCTCCAAAATTAACATGGCC